AGCAGCTGCGAGAGCCCTATTATTCCCCAAGTGGTTTTTCTTTGTTTCTTTTTTCTTTTTCCTCCCCTTTGAACTGGAAAATGGCCCACTTCCCACTGGCGAAAACTCAGGAAATTTGGCAGGACGACCGGGCCTGGTGAAAAATTTGATATTCCGAAGTCGCCCAAACAAGAAAATGCAAAATGGCTCCATAGCGCCCCCTAAGGTGAAAATTCACACTATTGACTGTCACGCCTGTACGCTTTGTCAAAATGACACAAAAATTGACACACACATGTATCTCAATAAGATCTACAAAAAAGTCAGTGCGGGCGTATCTGTCAAATGTACGGTTAAAGGGTTATTTCGCATTTTTTGCCGATCCGCACACATTGGAATTTCGCTAACTCCTCCGAAGGCTTTCGTTCCACCGGCACCACATTTGCTCAGGCCAATCTACACCCCATGGCCATTAAAAGTTATTCAAATCATGACGCTGCACCCCACGGTTTAGGTTCTAGGGGGCGCCAAAGATAACCCTAAAATCCACATTTTTAAAAGTCTTATAACTTTTTATTTTTGCCCTCACTGGCCTCCAAGTTTTCTAGGATGATGCAATGTCCAGCCATCAACACATGTGTGAAGGAATTTTTACTCCCCAAAAGAGCGCCCCCCCATGGCAGAAGAAAAAAGTCCATTTTTTCTTGTCCCCTAAGTTGAAAATACACATTGTTGACTGTCACGCCTATACGCTTTGTCAAAATGACACAAAAATTGACACACACATGTATCTCAATAAGATCTTCGAAAAAGTCAATGCGCGCGTATCTGTCTAATGTACGGTTAAAGGGTTATTCCGCATTTTTTGCCGATTCGCACACATTGGAATTTCGCTAACTCCTCCGAAGGCTTTCGTTCCACCGGCACCACATTTGCTCAGGCCAAATTACACCCCATGGCCATTAAAAGTTATTCAAATCATGACGCTGCACCCCACGGTTTACGTTCTAGGGGGCGCCAAAGATAACCCAAAAATCCACATTTTTAAAAGTCTTATAACTTTTTATTTTTGTCCTCACTGGCCTCCAAGTTTTCTAGGATGATGCAATGTCCAGCCATCAACACATTTGTGAAGGAATTTTTACTCCCTAAAAGAGCGCCCCCCCATGGCAGGAGAAAAAAGTCCATTTTTTCTTGTCCCCTAAGGTGAAAATACACATTGTTGACTGTCACGCCTGTACGCTTTGGCAAAATGACACAAAAATTGACAATCATGTGTATCTCAATTAGATCTACGAAAAAGTCAAAGAGCGCGTATCTGTATAATGTACGGTAAAAGGGCTATTTTGCATTTTTTGCCGATTCGCACACATTGGAATTTCGCTAACTCCTCCTAAGGCTTTCGTCCCACCAAATTTGCTCAGGCCAATCTACACTCCATGGCCATTCAAAGTTGTAAAAATCATGACGCTGCACCCCACGGTTTACGTTTTAGGGGGCGCCAAAGATGACCCAAATATACATTACAGTAGACAAAGTAGTTTTGCCCACTGAGTGGCGCCAAAGGGACTTGTCTGTGGAGTCTGTGAGTCACTATTGGCCGTTTTTGACTACTTTAGATTTTACCTTTATATTTCCTCTTACAAAATTTTTACCTTGCCTTGCCTGGTATCATTTTTTTCAGCACAACCTCACCTGTGTCAATTTACAGTTATTTTATCATTTTGACATACTATATTTACACATTGGACCCAAATTCACACACAAAACATAAAATCCGAGTGGAAAAAAGTAACGTTTTTACTGTGAAAACCACAAATATGTGTGATGAACTGTTTTTAAAACTTAAACTTCAAATAAAAATTGTAAACTTCAAAACATATGCAAATTTTTAACAAAGAACATAGTAATTTACCTCTATTGACATCAAAATGCAGGCAATGGCCCAGGTGTTCTTTGTAAAATTATTTACAAAACACTGTATAGTCTCACAAATGTCACTTTTTATTTATGCCACTACAAAAAAACATGATGTAAATGATGCATGATGTAAAACATGATGTAAAAAACTTGTGTAGATCCTCCTCTATGTTAGTCCATGTGTAATTTTTCCATAATTCTTTGTTTTTTGCAGCATTTTTGTTAGTGTAACTGCAGATTGTGCTGACAGTGTCTATGGCAAAAAAAAAAAAAAAAAAAACTGAAAATGCCTCAACATGAACCCCTGGTGGTCTCTGAGGGTGAAACCTGCTAACTGCTGCAGCTCTGTCAGCTTCAGTCTCCCATGCAGAGCTCGGAGCGCATGTGTGGCTCTTCACCCTTAGCAGCGTTGCTAACTCCTCAGTAAGGAAAGCCTGCTTCATGTCAGAGTCTCTAAACTCCAGAAGAAGTCGATAAAAGTCACTTTCTTTCTAAAAAAAAAGTCGTTAGGGGGTCTGAAAAGTCATTGAATCTAACAACAAAGTCGCTAGGTTTGCAACTACGTGTCCCAGACTGCATCCCTGCTGAGAGTCCCTCCCTCCCTTCTCATATTGCAGGAAGAACGTAAGTTCCCGCCCCTTGTCAATCAATCACCATATAATTTTGGATTGGTTGTTGTGGTGAAGTTTTCCACCAATAGGAGAGATGTTGTGGTGTGTTTTTTTTTTCTTTTGGCAAGCCTTTTCCGCCTGTAAGACCTGTCGCTAATGTCTGCATGCTATGTTTTCCTGTCTCATACAGCGCGATCGAGCGCCGAATGTGATCAAAATAAGCAGAAAACAAGTATCGCGGACATAATTTATCATAACTCTGGTTTTATTTGGCCTATCAACACAATTTAAAAACTGGTATATAGGTTGAGGTCCTCACTTTTGAGATAAATTGAAACGGAGAGTCAACGAGGCTCCGTCTTGCAGCTACATCCGGTTAAATATGTCATGTGACTTGAACGCACACACACACACACACACACACACACAGACACACACACACACGCACACACACACACTCAGAGTCTGGTTTTTAGCACCTGCAAAAACATGCTATTTACATATTTGACAAGAATGCAGAGGCTCCTTTTGCCCCTGAAAAAAATCAAATTTCAAACACAACTTGACTGGTCATTTCTCCAAAAGACAACCATGAAGCTCCATCCAAACCTGAAGCAGGCAGTTGGTGCATGTGTACAGTAACCTGAGGGGAGTGAGGTGACTGCTTCTGAGGAGAACATGAGCAGTGAAGATTCACCTTAGAGCTAGAACAGAGACGTGCACATGATTATACAGGGGCAGGGGCTCAAGTTTTTTCCAGTCGTTTATACAATATGGAAATTAATGTGAAATTAAAAAACAAAGTATTAATAGAAAGGTAATGACTGTCCTGTGTAGGTGACAGTAATATCCAATAGGCTAGGCACTCACGAGGCTGGCTGTGGCAAGTGTAAGTGAAAGCAACACGCACTGGCAGGAAGAACAGCAAACGCCGATGAAGGAAAAGGGTCTTTGCAGTGATGGGCGTTACCAGAGGGCGATGGCCAGAGGACACAAATGGGACGGGGAGGCAGCGCGTTGGGGGGGGGGCGCGACACAGCTCGGGCCCGCCAGTGCCCCAACGGGGTCCTAGTTATTATTTTTCCTCCCCTTTGAACTGGAAAATGGCCCACTTCCCACTGGCGAAAACTCATGAAATTTGGCAGGACGACCGGGCCTGGTGAAAAATTTGATATTCCGAAGTCGCCCAAACAAGAAAATGCAAAATGGCTCCATAGCGCCCCCTAAGGTGAAAATTCACACTATTCACTGTCACGCCTGTACGCTTTGTCAAAATGACACAAAAATTGACACACACATGTATCTCAATAAGATCTACAAAAAAGTCAGTGCGGGCGTATCTGTCAAATGTACGGTTAAAGGGTTATTTCGCATTTTTTGCCGATCCGCACACATTGGAATTTCGCTAACTCCTCCGAAGGCTTTCGTTCCACCGGCACCACATTTGCTCAGGCCAATCTACACCCCATGGCCATTAAAAGTTATTCAAATCATGACGCTGCACCCCAAGGTTTAGGTTCTAGGGGGCGCCAAAGATAACCCTAAGATCCACATATTTAAAAGTCTTATAACTTTTTATTTTTGCCCTCACTGGCCTCCAAGTTTTCTAGGATGATGCAATGTCCAGCCATCAACACATTTGTGAAGGAATTTTTACTCCCCAAAAGAGCGCCCCCCCATGGCAGGAGAAAAAAGTCCATTTTTTCTTGTCCCCTAAGGTGAAAATACACATTGTTGAGTGTAACACCTGTACGCTTTGGCAAAATGACACAAAAATTGACACACACATGTATCTCAATAAGATCTACGAAAAAGTCAATGCGCGCGTATCTGTCAAATGTACGGTTAAAGGGTTATTCCGCATTTTTTGCCGATCCGCACACATTGGAATTTCGCTAACTCCTCCAAAGGCTTTCGTTCCACCGGCACCACATTTGCTCAGGCCAATCTACACCCCATGGCCATTAAAAGTTATTCAAATCATGACGCTGCACCCCACGGTTTAGGTTCTAGGGGGCGCCAAAGATAACCCTAAGATCCACATATTTAAAAGTCTTATAACTTTTTATTTTTGCCCTCACTGGCCTCCAAGTTTTCTAGGATGATGCAATGTCCAGCCATCAACACATTTGTGAAGGAATTTTTACTCCCCAAAAGAGCGCCCCCCCATGGCAGGAGAAAAAAGTCCATTTTTTCTTGTCCCCTAAGGTGAAAATACACATTGTTGAGTGTAACACCTGTACGCTTTGGCAAAATGACACAAAAATTGACACACACATGTATCTCAATAAGATCTACGAAAAAGTCAATGCGCGCGTATCTGTCAAATGTACGGTTAAAGGGTTATTCCGCATTTTTTGCCGATCCGCACACATTGGAATTTCGCTAACTCCTCCAAAGGCTTTCGTTCCACCGGCACCACATTTGCTCAGGCCAATCTACACCCCATGGCCATTAAAAGTTATTCAAATCATGACGCTGCACCCCACGGTTTAGGTTCTAGGGGGAGCCAAAGATAACCGTAAAATCCACGTATTTAAAAGTCTTATAACTTTTTATTTTTGTCCCCACTGGCCTCCAAGTTTTCTAGGATGATGCAATGTCCAGCCATCAACACATTTGTGAAGGAATTTTTACTCGGCAAAAGAGCGCCCCCCCATGGCAGGAGAAAAAAGTCAATTTTTTCTTGTCCACTAAGGTGAAAATACACATTGTTGAGTGCTACGCCTGTATGTTTTGTCGTATTGACACAAAATTTTACATACCCGTGTATTTCAATAAGATCTTCGAAAAAGTCAATGGCCACGTATCTGTAAAATGTACGGTTAAAGGGTTATTTCGCATTTTTTGCAGATTCGCACACATTGGAATTTCGCTAATTCCTCCGAAGGCTTTCGTTCCACCGGCACCACATTTGCTCAGGCCAATCTACACCCCATGGCCATTAAAAGTTATTCAAATCATGACGCTGCACCCCACGGTTTAGGTTCTAGGGGGCGCCAAATATAACCCTAAAATCCACATATTTAAAAGTCTTATAACTTTTTATTTTTGTCCTCACTGGCCTCCATGTTTTCTAGGATGATGCAATGTCCAGCCATCAACACATTTGTGAAGGAGTTTTTTCTCTTTAAAAGAGCGCCCCCCCATGGCAGGAGAATAAAGTCAAGTTTTTCCTGTTCATCATTCAATGGCTCAAATGCACTGCTCTCTCGGCAAAAGCGAAAGGAGGAGCAACTTGCCATTTGGATATATCTTAGCTGTGTTTGTGCCCTCACTCATGGTCCAGACTTTTTTCAAATAGGACATGGAGTTTCTCTGCAGCGAGCGTTTTGGTAGAAACTGCGCCTCCCATTCATTATAATGGTAAATGACCACAAACAAGTGCGCACACCATCTTTGGACCTTGAGTGTGACGCGATCGGGTGGGGGAGGCGGTCGCGCTGGGGGCGGCGTGACACGGCTCGGGCCCGCCAGTGCCCCAACGGGGCCCTAGTTATTATTTTTCCTCCCCTTTGAACTGGAAAATGGCCCACTTCCCACTGGCGAAAACTCATGAAATTTGGCAGGACGACCGGGCCTGGTGAAAAATTTGATATTCCGAAGTCGCCCAAACAAGAAAATGCAAATTGGCTCCATAGCGCCCCCTAAGGTGAAAATTCACACTATTCACTGTCACGCCTGTACGCTTTGTCAAAATGACACAAAAATTGACACACACATGTATCTCAATAAGATCTACAAAAAAGTCAGTGCGGGCGTATCTGTCAAATGTACGGTTAAAGGGTTATTTCGCATTTTTTGCCGATCCGCACACATTGGAATTTCGCTAACTCCTCCGAAGGCTTTCGTTCCACCGGCACCACATTTGCTCAGGCCAATCTACACCCCATGGCCATTAAAAGTTATTCAAATCATGACGCTGCACCCCACGGTTTAGGTTCTAGGGGGCGCCAAAGATAACCCTAAGATCCACATATTTAAAAGTCTTATAACTTTTTATTTTTGCCCTCACTGGCCTCCAAGTTTTCTAGGATGATGCAATGTCCAGCCATCAACACATTTGTGAAGGAATTTTTACTCCCCAAAAGAGCGCCCCCCCATGGCAGGAGAAAAAAGTCCATTTTTTCTTGTCCCCTAAGGTGAAAATACACATTGTTGAGTGTAACACCTGTACGCTTTGGCAAAATGACACAAAAATTGACACACACATGTATCTCAATAAGATCTACGAAAAAGTCAATGCGCGCGTATCTGTCAAATGTACGGTTAAAGGGTTATTGCGCATTTTTTGCCGATCCGCACACATTGGAATTTCGCTAACTCCTCCGAAGGCTTTCGTTCCACCGGCACCACATTTGCTCAGGCCAATCTACACCCCATGGCCATTAAAAGTTATTCAAATCATGACGCTGCACCCCACGGTTTGGGTTCTAGGGGGAGCCAAAGATAACCGTAAAATCCACATATTTAAAAGTCTTATAACTTTTTATTTTTGTCCCCACTGGCCTCCAAGTTTTCTAGGATGATGCAATGTCCAGCCATCAACACATTTGTGAAGGAATTTTTACTCCCCAAAAGAGCGCCCCCCCATGGCAGGAGAAAAAAGTCAATTTTTTCTTGTCCACTAAGGTGAAAATACACATTGTTGAGTGCTACGCCTGTATGTTTTGTCGTATTGACACAAAATTTTACATACACGTGTATTTCAATAAGATCTTCGAAAAAGTCAATGGCCACGTATCTGTTAAATGTACGGTTAAAGGGTTATTTCGCATTTTTTGCAGATTCGCACACATTGGAATTTCGCTAATTCCTCCGAAGGCTTTCGTTCCACCGGCACCACATTTGCTCAGGCCAATCTACACCCCATGGCCATTAAAAGTTATTCAAATCATGACGCTGCACCCCACGGTTTAGGTTCTAGGGGGCGCCAAATATAACCCTAAAATCCACATATTTAAAAGTCTTATAACTTTTTATTTTTGTCCTCACTGGCCTCCATGTTTTCTAGGATGATGCAATGTCCAGCCATCAACACATTTGTGAAGGAGTTTTTTCTCTTTAAAAGAGCGCCCCCCCATGGCAGGAGAATAAAGTCAAGTTTTTCCTGTTCATCATTCAATGGCTCAAACGCACTGCTCTCTCGGCAAAAGCGAAAGGAGGAGCAACTTGCCATTTGGATATATCTTAGCTGTGTTTGTGCCCTCACTCATGGTCCAGACTTTTTTCAAATAGGACATGGAGTTTTTCTGCAGCGAGCGTTTTGGTAGAAACTGCGCCTCCCGTTCATTATAATGGTAAATGACCACAAACAAGTGCGCACACCATCTTTGGACCTTGAGTGTGACGCGATCGGGTGGGGGAGGCGGTCGCGCTGGGGGCGGCGTGACACGGCTCGGGCCCGCCAGTGCCCCAACGGGGCCCTAGTTATTATTTTTCCTCCCCTTTGAACTGGAAAATGGCCCACTTCCCACTGGCGAAAACTCATGAAATTTGGCAGGACGACCGGGCCTGGTGAAAAATTTGATATTCCTAAGTCGCCCAAACAAGAAAATGCAAAATGGCTCCATAGCGCCCCCTAAGGTGAAAATTCACACTATTGACTGTCACGCCTGTACGCTTTGTCAAAATGACACAAAAATTGACACACACATGTATCTCAATAAGATCTACAAAAAAGTCAGTGCGGGCGTATCTGTCAAATGTACGGTTAAAGGGTTATTTCGCATTTTTTGCCGATCCGCACACATTGGAATTTCGCTAACTCCTCCAAAGGCTTTCGTTCCACCGGCACCACATTTGCTCAGGCCAATCTACACCCCATGGCCATTAAAAGTTATTCAAATCATGACGCTGCACCCCACGGTTTAGGTTCTAGGGGGCGCCAAAGATAACCCTAAGATCCACATATTTAAAAGTCTTATAACTTTTTATTTTTGCCCTCACTGGCCTCCAAGTTTTCTAGGATGATGCAATGTCCAGCCATCAACACATTTGTGAAGGAATTTTTACTCCCCAAAAGAGCGCCCCCCCATGGCAGGAGAAAAAAGTCCATTTTTTCTTGTCCCCTAAGGTGAAAATACACATTGTTGAGTGTAACACCTGTACGCTTTGGCAAAATGACACAAAAATTGACACACACATGTATCTCAATAAGATCTACGAAAAAGTCAATGCGCGCGTATCTGTCAAATGTACGGTTAAAGGGTTATTCTGCATTTTTTGCCGATCCGCACACATTGGAATTTCGCTAACTCCTCCGAAGGCTTTCATTCCACCGGTACCACATTTGCTCAGGCCAATCTACACCCCATGGCCATTAAAAGTTATTCAAATCATGACGCTGCATCCCACGGTTTAGGTTCTAGGGGGCGCCAAAGATAACCCTAAAATCCACATATTTAAAAGTCTTATAACTTTTTATTTTTGTCCTCACTGGCCTCCAAGTTTTCTAGGATGATGCAATGTCCAGCCATCAACACATTTGTGAAGGAATTTTTACTCCCCAAAAGAGCGCCCCCCCATGGCAGGAAAAAAAAGCCAATTTTTTCTTGTCCCCTAAGGTGGAAATTCACACTATTGACTGTCACGCCTGTACGCTTTATCATATTGACACAAAAATTGACACACATATGTATCTCAATAAGATCTACAAAAGAGTCGATTCACGCGTATCTGTCAAATGTACGGTTAAAGGGCTATTTTGCATTTTTTGCCGATTCGCACACATTGGAATGTGGCTAACTCCTCCTAAGGCTTTCGTCCCACTGACACCAAATTTGCTCAGGCCAATCTACACCCCATGGCCATTCAAAGTTGTAAAAATCATGACGCTGCACCCCACGGTTTACGTTCTAGGGGGCGCCAAAGATGACCCAAAAATCCACATTCTTCAAAGAATCCCCATCCCCCCCCCCCCCCCCATATGGCAGGAGAAAAAGTTAAGTTTTTCCTGCCCATCGCTCAATGGCTCAATCGCATCGCTCTCCAGGCAACACCGTAAGGAGGAGCAACCTGCCATTTCGATATATCATAGCTGTGTTTGTGCCCTCACTCATGGTCCAGACTTTTTTCAAATAGGACATGAAGTTTGTCTGCAGCGAGTGTTTTGGTAGAAACTGCGCCTCCCATTCATTATAATAGGAAATGACCACAGACAAGTGCGCACACCATCTTTGGATCTTGAGTGTGACGCGATCGGGAGGGGGAGGCGGTCGCACTGGGGGCGGCGCGACACGGCTCGGGCCCGACAGTGCCCCAACGGGGTCCTAGTCCTCAACTTGTTTTCTAACCTGAAAAAAATGTTCCTGGTGACTTTTAATTGATATATAATGTGTATATTGTGAAAACAGGGCTGCTTCTACAGCTGCCTGGTTGACTCCTACCCCCTCGCACCAGTTTCAGGCAGTAAACATTAGGTATAAACATAATAAATCTTGGTCACTGATGGTCTTGTTTGTCTCTAAGTATCACAAAAAAGCATCCATGTGATTCTGAGTCTGTTTCATATATGCCAGAAAAAGTCCTCATGGGAGCACAAGCCATATTTTGGGTAAAATCTGAGCTGGAGTAAGTTCGAGGCCCCCTTTTGACTTTACATTTGTATCTCTTGCTGTTTGATTGAGTTGAGACCAAATACTAACATTCCCACTTCAGAGGCTGCAGGTACCAGTGTAATCATCAGATTGTTAGTATTCCCCATCGGACCTGTTGGATATCTGTGCAGTGTTTTCACTTCTGTTTCTTTGCAAAAGAATTATTGTCTTGTGTGCCCCAGATTCACCCCCTCACACTGTCTCTCTCTAACTCACACACATACACTTTCTGTTCCTGTGGAGTGGAAGCAACATGCAGGGAGGGAGAGTTGAGCCATGAATCATGACTATTATCATTAGGTTAAGCACCAACAGACCCCAAAGGCAGTGGAAGCCTCTGCGGAGAAGCGGCACTCTAAATGAGCCTGATTATTATTATTGTCCTCCAAATGAGAGTGATTAGTATTGATGTCTAAATGAGCACTGAGGTTATTATTGCCCTGATTATTATTACTATTATTATTATTATTGTGGCAGCATTATGAGGAGCAGGCGGTCCTCGCTTCATTCACTTTTAATTCCACAGGCTGCTTCTTTTACAGACAGGAGAGCCACATGGTCACTGTGACACACACACACACACACACACACACACACACACATATGCACGCACACACACGTACACACACACACACACTTATGAAGCCCATATAAACTGACAGAGCAATTACAAATGCAGGTTTACACAATCATGCTGCAGTAAGTGGATTTTAAATATGGTGTATGTTTTTGATTGCTTTTCATCGGACAATGTATTTATTGTGTTGTGTAAAAACAGTGTCCGATAAATAGTAAGAGTAAAAGTTGAGATGTCTACACTATAGATACACACATGTGTGAAAAATTTATCATTAACAAAAGACCTCTGCTATTTTACAGTCTTGATTACCTGATTTATTTGGAACACGATTTACTTTCAACTAGTAAAAAAAAAATCTTTTTACACCAACACCAAAGTTAGTCATCAGAGATCAACTTCCTGTTTTAAAAAATCAATGTAACTATAATTTTACAGCTCTCATACAGACAATTTGACCTAGTTGCTGATATTCCCCCATTTCTGGCTTTACACTCTGTATTGTTAGAGCTGAGTTTACATATTGTTTTTATGTATTTAAATCTGTTTATTTGTTCAGGTTTAATGTATGAATTTTATCTCATGTTACCTTTGGTGCATTTGGCAGTTCCTGTACCTCCTTGGTTTCCGTAGATTCTCCTGGTCTATCATTAAGAAAGGAGCAGAGGTGCTGTCTGTTACTATTTTGTCCATTCTGTGCAACTGTAGAAACATGTCAGTGCAAGATGGTCACCTCCACAAATTCACACCTACATGGATCTAAAGGCTTAATCTAACTGAACAAAAAGCAAAAATATTTCTATGTTTAGATATAAACACTAATATTTTATGCCATTTCTATTTGGCCAGATGCTGCTAAAAAAAATGACACACTGCACCTTTAACTGCAGAGCCTCTGAGTGCTGAGAGACAGTCTACGAGTCATCTGCTTTCTAAGCCCCACTCAAATCTATTCACATTCAGTCATCTTTGGAGTAATGCCTGTGAATTTATACTTAGATACAATCAGTTTGAGACCACAGCATAACCATTGTGGGTGACATACTTTGAAAATAAACCTTATGCATTTTCTTTGTGAGTTGGTTGTTCCTAGAAAGCAGTCTTTTTTTTTTTTCAACATTAACTGTTTATGTGCATCAGGCATATAAACAAGTGTGGACCTACAGTAAATCTAGACAGGGATGTGTGTTCGTGACTGCTGTTGACCATGTACTTGAGACGGAGAATTATCAGTTTGTTAAAATTTCAATTATGTCTATGTTATCCAATATTCTCATGTATTTTCATGTCATTTCCTCTCAAAACAATGTCATAATAACATGATTTAATGGTCGTATGTTATCATATCAGTAGACAAATACACAACTTGCCCTA